TAATTTTTGAGAATTTTGCCACCTATTGTGTTTAAGTGGTTCGTACTTTTCATCTAACCCTTTTGAGTTGTGTGACTTTTTTTTTAATAAAATAATGCATTAAATGCGATTCCACGGAGCGGTAGAGACCAAAGGCGTACCTTCAATGAATCAGTTATGGAAGTTCGGGCAAAGTGAGGGTGAATTCGGGCTGAATGCACCCGAAAGGCCGGCGCGAAACGAATTTAAAAATGCCAGCAGCGCGTCCCGACAAAGTAGCACACTTAAAATCGTAGGTAATGCAATTTTTCTCTACCTACGGCTCCACTCTTTGTCCTTGCTAATTAATGCGCCTTTAATTAGAAGTTTGACAGACGAAAAAGAGCCTCATGATGGTTACTTTAGGAAACACGTACTTTGGTTCGTGGAACAAACAATAGAGGCACCATTAAGAAAATGAAGCTTTAGCTTGTGATACAGAAAACTGGACGATTTTCAGTCGATAATTTTTCGGTAGAGCATTCGTCTGTTCGTTTTCAAGATAGACTTGACATAAAGACAATCACACACTGTGAACGTGATTATCGAAAACAAACTTTCAACAGGGCTGTACTTAAAACTGAAGACACTACATCCACGGAGTTGCCAACCCCACGTTAGCAAAACAGAAAAAGAAGACAACGTCTTGTTTAATGGACAATTACCCAATTCTATTTAACAAATCGATATTTGTAAATTTATTTATTTCTTAGGCTGATGATGATTTGTAGGTACGTGTTATTTTCAAAATAGAGGATTGCCGAATGTTAGACCCTCACTGTATGCATGTATAAAATTCGTTATCAAATTTGATTTAGTTTTCGCTTAAACAAAGAGCGTAGAAATAACATAAAAATGGATTGCTAAATGTGTTGCTAAGCGCAAAACTCGAGAACGTCTGGACCAATTTCAATATTTTTTTTAAGATATTCCTTGATGTCCGACGAAGGTTCTTATGAAGGAAAAAATTGGAAAAAATTCCAAGAAAAACGTAAAAACCATATTCAAACTGATCCTAGCTGCTAAGTGTATGACGGAGCATCATTTGAGCACGGCTCAATCGATTTGACTGATTTATTTTTGTTGTATTTCTAATTGACAGGACAAGGTTTGTGTGAAAGAAAATTTTTGGAAAATACAGGGAAAAATCCGAAAATTTGGATAGCATTTTTATATGGAAAAACCTTCATGTTATACATTTTGAAAAATTTACTAGAAACATGGTTAAAAAAATGAACCTCTGTGGGGGGGGGGTTGGTGAAAGGGAATTGCAATGTTTGAATGTGATATATACTATTTGTGGTCAGATTTACTTGAAACTTGGTCTTAATACTCTCTCATTTAATTTGTGAAACACCTATCTCGGCAAAAGGGGTTGTAATTTTTGTTTAACACATATCTTGTGGTAGATTTTACTTGAAACTTGGTATTTACGCTCCTTGATATAATTAATCAAATGAAAAGAAGTTGCAACGTTTGCATGGGGAATATTTGATTAGTAGTCGGATTTACTCGATGGTTGCCCTTAATACTTATTGTTGAAATTAAACAAATATGTGTTTTGGCAATTTTTAGAAATCAACATGAACGGACCACGGGTCCACGTCCAATGTTGTTTTGTTTTGGTGTACCTATCTTAAAAGCGAACAGACTATAATAAACAAAATAATTCGAAGTGGTCTGGTGTTCTATCGAAACTGCCAGACGCGGATCGCGATTTCGATCTTTTTGGACCTCATCAGCGCGTCGCAGACAGCTCCGACAGAACACAAACCAACTTTTACCTGCTTTTTTAACAGTGCATTTTAGAAAATACCACAAATGGCGCAGTAAACACCATCTGTAGCACGATGCTACATTTTAAGATTACGTATGCTCCAACAAGGTCCACTTGTGTGGATATCTACTTGCTGAAAACGAATCCCGGCGTAGCCAACCTCAACGTGATAGGTTAATCGAATAAAATAATTCGAAGTGGTCTGTACTCATCATCGTGCTACAGATGGCGTTTACTGCGCCATTTGTGGTATTTTCTAAGACTATAATAAATTTCAAACATTTTTAAGAAATTGACCCAAAATTGTTTTTCAAACTTAAAGACCTGTTGTTTGTAGTGATTGCTTTAGTTTAGGAACTAGATGATTGGCAGCTTAATTACAAAGAATTCATTTTGAAATAAATTCGTTGTGATATTTTTTCTCGGTTGACTATACATTCTGCTTTTAAAGCGGCACAATACATGAGTGGTTGGTTTCCGAAGACAATAACCTTTTTATGGCGAATTTCTGCTTTGTTATAGCCCCCAGGAACGTAAAAAAGGGGAGGAATTAAAACTGTTCTTGGGGTGCTTTCATTAAATTAATAATCCTTGATGAAGGGCCAAGTGGACTCCTAATTTAGAAGTCGACCGTCAGAGATCGTTTCAAACACGCGATGCCAACTCCTCATTTATGTCTATACGATGAAGTACTGTACGTTGTAAACGATAACACGGAGTGATAAAACTTTCTCAAGCATCGAAAGAGAAATGTGCGCGTAAAAGGAAAGAAAGCTGGCTTATCATTTAGAGCAATTGAGAGGAGCTTATAGCATACAAAAAAAAAAAACAAAAAAAAAAACGCAAAAGACAGAAAAGCAAACCATTCCGAAAATTGAAATTCAAACACTGCAACGATGGCAGGTTCCTCTCTACTTCTTTTGGTTCTCTTATTTTGCTTCCTTTCCGTCGCCTTTTGATATTCCTCTTATAACGATACGCGACTGTACAATGGCATCCTATCAAATCAGATAATAAAAGACCTTTTATTTGAATTGTTCGGGTTCGATGAGAATTGAAAAATAGCAACGCCTTTCACGCAGCGTGCTTTCAAAATTTATTACCAACGATCCGAATCCATTTTGTTTCCTAATTTTCGACTGGCCACAAAAAATCAATATGTACAGACCAATTTTATACAATTAGGGCTCGGATAACTAATAAATAATGCTTTGTACAACAGTTCTGTTGGCTTAAACGGTGCCCCATAATGTCTTTTCTGTTCGACGTTATTTCTGTTTGCCGTGTTTCCACGAGCAGTATTTTCTCAGAATGTTTTTGGATGAATGACCAAGTGAATAAAATTCCAGTGTAAAACAAAACTATGTACACACTTTATTTACAACAATTAAACATATTCAGAACATGAAAACAATGTAAAAACGGAAGACAAATTTAGCGACAAAAAATAGATCTGGTTAAGCTGAACGACAAAACGTAACTTTTTGAACTCAACTCAGCTACTACCAAAATGGAATAAAATCAAACCTATAATATTACCACCACCAGTACCTGCGAGAACAAAAGCTATAGAAAAGTATAGGAAAAGACCCAAAAATACATAGATATCATTACAGCGTAGTGCAATTAAATAAGGGTAGCTGACCGACGAAGCCTTCGTAGAATTTATCTATTGGGACCAAATGTTTTGAGAGGCCCCAACAGGGTGATATTTGTAATAATGTACATTTATACACTATAGCAGCCAATGCAGTAACTTATATAAATATTAAAAATTACACCATGCTAAATATTGTATAATTATCCCTAATACTAATAACTACAACTGAAATTACACTGTAACAATTTCTTCATCTGACAGGTGCTCATAAATTTGTTATTTCCAATCAAAAATCATTTTTCTATAACAGTAAGAACACTGTCATATGATCCAGTATTTACCTTTCGATAATTTCGATAATAGTTTGTATAAAGAGCAACAGGCAGTTATAGAGATGGGGCTGCAACGTAGAGAAGTAAATATTAAGAATGGAGACAGACGGGGATGTCACCGCTACTTTTTAATCAATACATCTAAGACGCGATCAACATCATTAAAGACAGTGCAACTGTAGGGATAGATATACAGGGGCAATAGATTAGTATGCTTAGATTTGCAGATGATATAGCAGTATTAGCATCTAGCAAGAAGGAGTTACATAAAATGGAAGCGGTATTGACAAAACAGTACTGCATGAAAATAAATAAAAGTAAAACAAAAATACTGGCATGTAAGGGAAGGAAAAGTAGGGAAAGAGCGAATATAAAGATAGGAGAAGTGGCCGATTTTAGTTATCTAGGAAGTCAGATAAGTCAGGACGGAAGGAGTAGTAGGGATATAAAGCAGAGGATAGTGCAGGGTTGAGTCGCCATCAATAAAGAGAAGTCACTTCTATGCTCGCGAACGGTTAATTTAGAAATTCGGAAAAGGTCGTTAAAGGCGTATGTTTGGAGCACAGCACTGTACGGGTGCGAAACATGGACAGTGGGCGCGGCGGAAAAGGAAAGATTAGAAGCGTTTGAAATGTGGTGTTACATATGAATGATGAGCATACCGTGGATAGAGAAGGTTAGAAATGAAGAGGTATTAGGAAGAGTAAGAGAACAGAGGACTCTATGGAAGTTAATAAGAAATAGGCGAGAAAGAAATAGGACACCTTCTCAGGCATGAAGGTCTAGTTAGAGACATATTAGAGGCAGAAACAGGAGTTAGGAGGGGTAGAGGCAGACCTAGATTAGATAACTGTTCGCAAATAGTTAAGGATATGGGTTGCTCTAGCTTTAGGTAAATGCGAAGATAAACGCAGGTGCGTGTCCAACCAGTCTGACGACCTTATGATGATGAATTTCAGTTATGCTTTTCCTGCAATTATTTTCACTTAAAAGTTCCTTTCTCTTACATTCTTCTTGATTTATTACATTTTTATAAATACAGTGTACCTACAGGTGCATATTCCATTGTGAACCTATGAACCGCTTTTACTTGCCCAGATCACGAACTTCATTTTCTATATTGAAAAGGATAATGGAATTGTTATTAAAACCTGAATTAAATTAGAATGAAGTTCTTGTTTTAAAGCTTTAGCTTTAAGTAAGTTAACTTATTTGCCAACCAACTTTATATTCCCAGGAAGTAACTTAACTACAAAGTGTTTTTTCGTTTCAGATTTATCATCAAAATATGGCTTTTATTTAAGTTGCATCATGCAAGTTTGCAGTTCTGAGGGATAATGTAATGGAGGTAAGGTATTATCGTAACTAATGTTATAAGTTTGTTCGTTTGTTTTGTTTTCACGCTTTAACTACTCAACTGGTCATTATGAAACTTTGTACACACATTGTCAAAGGTAAAGAAAAGGACATTAGGTACCTTTAATCCAGAAAAAATACTGTTCCCGAGGGATAGAAATATTAGTTTTGCGTGGTCGTCAATGATCTTTGACAGGCTATTCTTAGGACATCAGCGCGAGCGAAGCCGCGGGTAAAGTCTAGTATTTTATAATTTATACTTATTGTTACTAAGTTAAGTAATAAATATAGTCCATTATGTTAATTTCTGTCTAATAATGATGTTATGTCATGTACAATTAGTATGTTCACTGAAAATATGTTTGGTATCTTTCGGCTGGATTTGGAGCACGAAATTTGATCATAACTCTTGTTCAGTGGGAAAACGTGTAGTTCTGGCAATTCGAAACTTTAGGTAACAAGTAAATTTTCTTTATTATTATTATCATCATCGTCGTTCTCCTTAACCGCTGTAACGAGGTGCTCCAAGTTTATCCACCTGGTAGCAATTTATCATTTTCGACTTAATTTAGTTTTAATGAGAGACCTCTAGGATTCTACTCTCGACAATCCATCACCAACCCTTACAAAGTAAAGTTAATGTTTATTAAAGATAACTGATTACGAAGCGCACAGAGTTTAAAATATCGTAAAGAGCGGAGGCAGTTGATTAATTTGGATAATAAGAAAAAACGAAAACCTAATAAATGTTATGAAGGGTTAATTGGGGTTGTTAAAAAAAGGAAAATTCGATAATTCTGCCGATCCTCTTTCAATAGTTTAATAAATTACTAACCAAGAAGTTATACTACTTTTATATTATTTAGTAATGAGTAAAGTTGGTCTTTGCGTTGCAGTCTTGGTCTTGATCTCGCGAAAATGTAAGACCAAAACCGAGACTAAGACTATATACTAGCAAGATGAAGAGCGAATGAGCACGACCAGAACTAAAACCAAGACCGAATGAACAAGACCAACACTAAAATTCAGACCAAATATTGTAGACCAAGACCTACCACGCAAGACTAAACGAAAAATTATTAAATTCGGTGGATTTATGAGTTAAACCATTGAAAGGAACTTTAATATATTCTTTTCTTGAAACTAAGCATTTTCAGTATTTGAAATTTGAATGATTTGACACTAAAGTCCAACACCGAGACTGAGACTGTATCAGCAAGACTAAGATTAAGACCAGAAAACAATGGGTTTGAAAATTGTGATAAAAATGATTACATGACATTTACAATTAATATAAAATGTATTATTGCGTTTTTGAGTACTTATTAATTTAAATAATCGAAAACCTGCAGTAACTCTTCATGAGAGAATCAGTTTCACAGATTATATTTCAACCAGCATCCGTCCATTGATACAATATTTTTAAATTATGTACTCTTCAATGTTGTTCTCTACGGAAACTTGATACGTGTACAGCCTCAGAGTTATAGTTTACAAAGGTAATTTAACTCTGGTCCCGAATACTGCGAAACCCTCGAGGTTTAACGTTACAAGACAGGATCATCTCCTGTATATAGGACAGCGGAGGCATCATGACCTAATGGAATTGAAACCATGACTTGGATGTTAATTGAATTAAAGTTAGTTTTTGAACATAAAATCCGGAGATATCACGTTATATCTTTTCGAGATATAAGAGAATATCATAAAATATTTTTCCCATAGCAAGAAAATATTTTAAACATATTTCCTTACTTTCTTAAAAAGACCATTTACCTTCTGGTGCAGTGACATTGTATCGTCTGGGTGTAAAGTCCGAAAACAGTAATTGGCTATTAACTAAAAAAAAAAACTTTTGGGTGTTTCATTCCCACCAGCCAGTAATGCTGGTGGGCGGGCAGTCCCTCCGGACTACGCCGGAAGATAGGGCGGAAGGCCCTCTTCAGCCTGCTTTCAGGAATCGTGGGAATGGGTGGGTGGTGGTTCAGGTGAGAAAGATGAGACGAACGAAATGAAGACAGAAGAGAATGAAAGATTATCTGTGGAATATTACTGCCTCAGCATTTGCCTAAGTGATCCAAGGAAACCACAGAAAAACTTGGATCAACGCAGACGGACCCGGAATCGAACCGGCGTCCTCCCGAATGCTAAGCAATGGTCTAGACCTCTAGGCTATTGACAATTTTTTACAAATCCTTTATTTTTTCGAGTTTAACATGTGTCGGTGAGAGCTATCTCCGAATTCAAAGGAATCTGGTACTCTTGTTAGTGCTGATTTGACTTCCCAACGTTTGATGGCGCTTAGTGCTTTATATGATTATTTCCTTATTGTACCTATCACTTTATGCAATTTTTTTTCTGTCGATTTATCCAACGATATGACCTTGATATAGCATGTAAAACATTCGAAAGTTTTTCTTAGTTTTTAGGGTTCCGTGCATCCCAATGAAATAAAGAACCCTTATACGATCACTTGTGTGTCTGTCTGTCCGGCAGTTATAGCCAATTTGCTACGAATCTGCTGGACCGATTACGTTGAAATTTAGTACACGTATGAATTTCTGTTTTTCCCAAACACGGACACATAACGTGAATAAAGTAATTTTGAACATGGGGGTCATTTTTGGGGGACCAATAGGAACATAACAAAAAAAGTTTTGCAAACTGTGCCGTGTGATATATCAAAGGAATTGGATTGTTGTAAGGGTCTTGAATATATATTTTTTATAATTTTAATATAAACATAGTTATTCAAGAAAATAAAAAAAATTTGCCATTACACTTCTCCCCACCCCTTATCACCGAAACTACTGAACTTAAAATTTTGAAAAAAATACAGAAAGTAGTACTTTAATTATAGATTACAGCAAAGTTAATAAGCAATCTATGGTTTGAACATAACGTGGTAAATTATTCAACAAAACAATATTGTGAGTACAAAAATTTACATTTGCAGTTTGAATGTAAGAGAGAACATGTTTTTTTTTAACTATATTGTTAAGTTGGTTCACAGGTTAGGGCTCCGTACAGCCGAATGGATAACGGAACCCTTGTAAGGCTATAGGATCAGTCGTGTGTCTGTCTGTCCTTTATTAACTTTGGTTTCAGCAATGATCTCAAATCCCAACGGAGAATAAAACTAAATAGGCACTGTTGTGATCGTATATCTATAGTCTAGTTTAAATAACATCCTTGTATATTTTCGTAAAAAGTAATCTCACAGAAATGACAAGTTGGTTATGCAATTTAAAGTTACAAATTGCTTATTATATCAAGTTGAGATCGAGGTAGCGCGTGTAAGGAAGTTTCCGGGCAAAAAGTTGTGGCCGTAGGGAGAAGATATATGTTGTTATAAAGAGAAGTAGGTAAGGCATCAAGACACGTAGCTAATGTCACTGCTTTTTCTTCGAACTTCGGCGGAATTCAATCAAGCTAATACATATTTGTACCACGGATACACGTATATGGTAGAGGCAGGAATGTATGTCGGTTAAAGATCAGGATAGGAGAATGGGTCTTTGGTTGGTAGGTGTAAGAACTTTTCCCGTAGTAGGTAGATAATTCTTTATTCTCGTCGTCCTTTATCATTTTGATAAATTGTACTGTCAAGAATTTTCCTTGCGGTAAGGAGGAAACTTTTATGCACCGCATGTCTTGCATACACCTACACACACACGCAAATGTGATACACAAACATGCTCCCGCGTGGAATTGTATTATAGATACGTTGAATCCGCACGAACGGATGAAAAGATCGGTTTCATCGGCCGACTTTTCTGCAAAATCTAACAAAACTCATCAAAACAGAAACGTAGGTAGCGTATGATATCATCAGTGCAGGAAACCCCTCGGTGTGGATCGCGGTTTTGATTCTCGATAAATTACTGAAAAAATCTTAAAAAAACTTTTGGACAGAGCCGTTCAAATTTTGACTTCTTAGGAGCGACTACATTGTATGCAAGAGAAACAGATCTTAAAACAAGTGATATACTTCGTTTAGTTTCACTAGCGATGTGCCCTTTAACTTGACCGGCGCAAAGTAGGCCAGAAAAGGAAGGAAACAACTCTCGGCCAAACTCTCAACCCGTGAGGAGCGTATAACCCGTACAGTATTGCACGAAAAAATTGACCATTTTATCCACTAAAATTGCATTGCTCGAATGTGCTGTTATTAGTAGGTACCATTTACTACTGAAAATATCAACGAGATGTTTGTTTATATTAGAAGACATATTAAAGGTTTTAAAGCTTGTTTTCGACACGCACTAATATTCGTGATTGAACAATACTTTTGACAAGTACTGTACGAAAAAGTATGTTTAATGTACAAGAGTCTAGAGTACAATGAGCTTTTTTCTCCCTACCTCCGATTTTGCCAGTGCGCATCCAAGACATTGGAAAGGGCACATCGCTAGAGAAAGTAAACGAAGTATACCTGTCTTTCTTCCTCCGTAACCAAGCCACCTCCGTAACCAAGTCTTCTGGTTATGATTATGGAGAAAGAGAGACTGGTATCGTTCGATGCTGTACCTGTGACACTATACCTGTCTCTTTTGGGTTACGAAGAAAAATGACAACAGCAGATTTGTATACCTCGCTTACTTGCTTTTGCAGGTGCATCTGGGAACGCTAGGATCGAAGTTTGCCCAGCTAATCATGCTGGGTCAGGTAGGTGTGAAAGATGAGACGGACGAAATGAAGACACAAGAGAAGTGAACAATTATCTGCAATATTATTGTCACTGGTTTGCTTAATAAGTGAATCGCGAAAACCTTAGAAAACCTGAATCACGGCTGACAGAACCGGAATCCCGAAACGAGCCAAATAAGTGAATCAAGTATACCCTGAAAAAATAATCCAGGTATCCCCCTAGGGTCGATTCATTATGATTATCGTCCTATGGCCTTTCTGCTCATCTTCTATCCAAAAAAGTATCTACCTAGGGGCTTGTGTTTCGGTTAAAGCCAATATTGATTTTGCGCCTCATAAATA